AGTGTCACTGGCCCTCATATGTGGGATCCGAACCGGGGCCCTCTGGCATCCCAAGCGAGTTCTTAACCATCGCGCCACTCGGCCGGCCCGTGATTTTATTTTTTATGCTTAGCTTAATTTTTTCCTACACAAACATTATAAGCTGTCAACCTCTGTTATTTGACAGAAGTGGAGTTCTGGAAGGTGGAGCCAATACAATAAGAGAAAGAAATAAGTGTAAATATTGGATTGAGATGGCCAGACTGTTGTTATTTGCAGATGACATGATTATTTGCCTGAGAAACACAGTAGAATCAACTGGAACACTGTGGGAACTAATATGAGAATTAAGTAAATTGGTTACAAAATCAATGTACAAAATCAGTGGCTTTGATATTTATCAGCATTGTCAATTAGAAAGATACAGTGAAAAACAGTTCTCATTTATAACAACAAAAATTGTAAAACACTAAGAGATAAATAAACTTAGTACTTAACTGAAGAAAATGACAAAATTTTATTAAGAGAAAAAAATTTGAGTAAGTGAAGAAAAATAATATTTTACTACACTGAAAACTGATTTGAAAGCTCATTTTGAAGAGTAAATGACTACAAATGATGTGGCCTCAAGGTTTCAAACTGATGCTTCATCGTAGCGATGGGGTGAGGCTTTAAGTGGCGCAAGAGACTTGAGGATGCCGGCAGTCAGCGGCCTGCACTCTAGGTCCTGGTCCAAGGCCACGAAGACAGTAGTTTGGAAATCAGGACTGTTGTCCGCTTCTGACTTGTGGCCTAGCGTCCTTGCCACCACAGGCATTGCTTTGGATGCTGATACTCTCGGGTGCTGAGTGAGAAGCATATTTCAGATTCATAGCCAAAACCATTCATCAGTTTTTGTTTCTCTTAGAGATTCTTGGGTCCCCATTTGGACCCTAGTCTTTTATTTTAGTTTGACATAGCTAAGTTTAAAAGGGGAAATGGATATACCCATGCCTGAATATACGATCGTTTTTTCTTAAGCAAAAAGGGGGTGTTTCTATAAATACCTTATCCTGGTTTAATTAAAATGAAAGATTTTATCATACTGATGCTTTTTAAATTGGTTTTATATATTCAGAAGCTTTTTTGTTTGTTTGTAGCTACTTTGAGAATATTTCTTACAGTTTTTAAAGATAGATTACATTTATATGTAAATCTTATTTTTTATTTTGATTAAGAAAGTTTGTCCGGCCCGAGCTGAGCTGCCACTGAGCTGCCAACAGGTGGCAGGATGGCTCAGCTAAAAGAAAAAAAAAAAAAAAAGAAAGAAAGTTTGGCTACAATGTCCTTTTAAACAGAAGGCTAGAAATATGATTTTCCCCATTAGTCTTAAAGTGAAGATTAATAAGGAATTTGTTATTTGGAAGGTTTGGCCTTATATACATGGCATACGAATATCTTGCCTTTCAGGATAAACAGTTTACCAACAATCTCCGCTTTGAAATTTAATGGCGCATTGACCATGGCAGTTGGAACATCCACAGGGCAGGTAAATACGTTTAAGTTGGAAGCTTCACCCGTAAGTGAGCATTTCAGAGGTGTGTACCATGGGAAACATCCACACACCTATCGGCTGTGGGAACACAATGGGGCATCATTGCTTTGGCCAGAGTACTGCAGAATGCAGTGCTCTTGTAGAGCACCTAGAGAAATGCTGATTCCGGCCTTAATGGTGGACCCGAGAGGCGCTCAAGCCAGAGCTACAGCAGGGCACGCCTCCGACATTCTTTTGTCTGCGGTTTGGAACAGCGCTGTCCACAGTGTGTGTGGAACAGAATTCTGTGGTCAGAAGAGTTTGGAATTCTGCCCAGTTTTTACTGTTGGAGAGTCATAGTGCATTTAAATACTATATGGAAGGCTTTGAGAATGCCTGTAGATAAGAAATGTGTTTCATAAATATTTCCAAACTGTATTTGTCCAAGGCATCTGTTTTTCACTTAGCACCATGAACCAAATCCCATGCAGTGAGTGGTCGGGAACACACCTCAGCGAATGCTAGTCTGAGAAGTACGGAGGCGATCACTGCAGAGGTTTAACTCCATCTTTTCTTTTCTTCATGGCATAGCCCACACGCTTGTGCGTTTGCTCTCCCCCCAGAACAGGTCTGAGAACCTGCTTCTAGTAGAGTTACTACCTCTGTCCTCAAGGTCTAGAGAGGACCTGGGCTGAAGCTCTAACTGTCCCAGGCCCCTTGCCTCCTGTGACAGGGCTCGGAACCCTGCCTTCCTACCCCCAGTCACAGCCTTGCCACCTCTTCTGTCTTCAATCTACCAGGACTGTCGTCTTTATGCCTTTTATTCTTGTTTCTGTCCCTTGCTGTGACAGTGCTTGGTACATAGTCGGCCCACAGTGTGTATATATGTATTGAATGCACACAAATGCTTACGGACTTTCCTTTTTGTTCCTTTCTTAGTATAGCTCAGAGGTTCTAAAGCTTAGTGTGCCTAAAAGTTACTCTCAGGGTTGAATTCATAAAACCATGTACCTTAAGAGTAAGTTAGATTCCTCTAGAGCATGTTTGGTGGCTAACTTTAGGATGTCCACAAAAAGGTAACGAAACAAATGACAGCCACTTTTCTAAGTTTTAAAAGTTGCTTTTTAAGAGAAAGTATTTTGTTTAAACAGAAATAACTTGTTTTTTTCTTTTAGGTTTTATTATATGATCTTCGATCTGATAAACCACTGCTAGTGAAGGATCACCAGTATGGGCTGCCCATTAAGTCCATTCATTTCCAAGATTCATTAGATTTGATTTTGTCTGCAGACTCTCGAATTATCAAAATGTGGAATAAGAACTCAGTACGTATTTTTTTAATTGAAATTATTTATTTGCATACTTTCCTAATGTTCCTTTTCTTTCTGTTGCCTTTTTTGAGTAATGTGGGTTCTTAAGAAAGAGATACTAGGTATTCATTGGGGAACTTAGTTGGAAGCTGTTACTTCAGGATAGATAATGTTCATATTTAGATAAAGTAGTCAAGATTGTTCTATTCGCATTAAAGACGTTTTCCTGATTTGCTAGAACTGGTGTGCGTGTTTACATGTTCAGTTAGGTTGAGAGTAAATCCTTGTTTAAAAAATTTGATCCGTAAGAAACCCCCTAGATCTTGAGGCTGTCTCACAACCTTAGGAAAGTTTTTATGAATTACTAATTGTCTTTCTATGTCAATATTATTGTACATCTCAATTTCATACCTTTTCCCCATCTTGGGTTTTAGAAATGACACCTATACAACAATTTCTCACACTATTTTTATTAAAAACGATTTTCTTAAGAATGTTTGATGTTGTCTCTCCTCAGTTCCAAGTATTATTTAAAAAGTAACATATATTGCTGGTTTTAATCTGCCTTCTGCTTTTTATTTTAAAACCTAAGTCTTTTGAGAGAAGTAAAGGTTAGTTCATTAACTAAAAGGGAAAAACAATCATTCAGTATAGCAATTGCTTTTAAGAGTTCTTTGCATTTAATTAATTACAAACTTAGCATCTTTAGTCAAAAAGTGTCACTTCTTTATTTTCCCTTTTCATCTTTGAGATGAATGGAGTGGAAAGCCCAGTGGCCTCAGCATCAGGGCCTGTGCTCAGGGCGGAGAAGCTCCCTGTGGCCCCATCACCATTCAGATACTTGTCAGAGTCCCTGGCTGCTTGGACCATTACTTTGGTTTTTAATTTTCGTTTGTTAACTCCCCAAGTATAGACCTTTCTTTTTCCCTCCAGACCTCTGTGGAGCTTTGGAGTTATCCTGGGGTGTGTTCTGCCTGTGCACTGGTAACACATAGCTCCCTCTTGTGACCATTTTCATTTTATTCTTGGAAGAACTAACTACCCTGATGACCACTAGGGAACTGACTATGCTACTTACTACTGTGGGCTTTGAGTTGGGAGGGTTTTGAGGGCTTTCTTAAGTTTCATGGTGTCTCAGGCTGGAGTTTTCTCTGCTCCTTCTCTGATAATCCAAACTAATTTACTTTAAAACTATTTATTTTTAATACTACAAATGCAGACACTTAATTCTAAAGATTCATAAGATACTGGTAAAGTAGAAGTTACCCTTGACCTGGCTTGAGCCTACCGAAAGCTAATGACCATCAGTGTGGATGTGTCTTCCCGGACCCTTTAACTGCTGAATAGTTTCCCATAATGTGGATTTGTTAACTGTGGCACCTTTTCTTTTTTGTTTCATACTATTATAGTCCCCTTGTTCCCCTACCTTTTTTCTTCCCTCTTTCTGTCCTGTTTCAATGGGAATTTGAGAAGAAAGGGAGGTAGCTGTGTGAATTTCATAGTCTTGAATTAAAACTTGGCTTCTGTGTTTCCCTGAGCCTGAAATAACCATCTTCCTTGTACTTTAACTCTACCTCCCCCTGCCATGGGAGTCCCTAATAATGAGTTAATACATGTAAGAGCTGGCAGACATTTTCAGCGTCGGCTCTTGAAATAATCACGCTGCAGTTGCTACAGTAAGTTTTATTTTGGCATTGTTATTATGACTAAATACTTCCTCTCGACCAACACCCAAATTTCTTGGTTTTGCTTGACTTGCTTTTCTTGTTTATCTTTTTCATCACCTTTTTCCATTCCCATCTTCTTATCTTCTGTCTTTTTTTCCTCTTACTTTCCTTCTCTTAATTTTTTAAAAAAGAGTACACGTCCCCTCACATTTAAAATAAAAATATCTCAGGCTTAACTATATAATAACTAACAATTGATGTATGTATAGGGTTTCGTTTTGTAAGCTATTTTATGTCCATTATTTTATTTGATCCCCCTCAAAACCTTGTGAGGTAGGTATGGCAGATATTGTCCTCTTTGTACACGTTGACCATCAATCTTCTTTGCTTTGTTTGAGTATGAGTTTAACTAGAGTGTGTTTTCCAGATTGTGAGAGGTTTTTTTAAGTTGATGTACAACTTTATTTTAAACTTGATCCTTTCCTGTTGTGTAGACATTATCTTTAAAACATTGTATTTATTTGATAAGTCATCTCTCTCTCAGGGCCTCGGTTTCTTCATCTCTAAAATGAGAGCGTTTGATAAGTTGATAAAATGAAATCTCTAAAATTTTTGAAAAAATCATTCAGTATAGCAATTGCTTTTAAATTTTGTGATTTCTATTAGGCAATTTTATTTCTTTACGTACCAGCATGTGGTTGAGTTACGTCTCGAGTGTATTTTCTTTATATGACATTGCCAAAAGCTGTCTTCCTTTAACTATTCTAATAATTCCTTTATGCTTACTCTTTTAGGGAAAAATATTTACTTCCTTGGAGCCAGAACATGACATTAATGATGTCTGCCTCTATCCCAACTCAGGTATGCCGTTTGTAGCCACGGGGCATTCAGTGAGACAGATCTAGGCCATGCTTTGTTGGGTTGTCAACTCATAAGACAGGGTTTGGCTTGGTCAGGACAATTTTTGGACATTGTATTTACTTGAAGAATCGAGCAGGAAGTAGTGTGGATGATTCAGAAAATGGCCCTTTTAGTGCCTCAGTCCTCAGCCAGCCTGGCTGTTAGTAGAAGCTGGTAACCATATATAGGCAAGTGGCAGGCGAGGCGCTGCGTTAGTGTGCTCGTCGGCTCTTCTACGTGATTAGTAATAGTGTGTGGGAATCGAGATTAGGGATTGGGAGAAGGCCAGGCTTGCCTGATAACAGACAAGGCTCGTGAAGCCACGGGTTTTGGTATATTCTGTGTCGTATGCTGTTCAGCAAATTACATGGCAGGTTTTGAGTTTAGCAATGCCTTTAAGGTAAATCCGTAAAAAATTGGGGTATGACAGAAAATGAGAACAGTTCCCACTCTCAAGCGGTGTTGGAGCCTGATGACAGACATGCACAGATAATTTTGCTGGAGGGATCCAGGCAGAGCAGGAAGAGTTGTGTTACGTATGTACAGACAGCACTTTGACAGTGTGTCAGAGAGGCTTCAGCCAGAGCAACCGGAGGAAATCGTACAGAGGTGTTTGTATTAGGTGTGGAGTGATGAGTGAAATTTGGTGGTCAAGTTGGGAGATGAGGTGATCTGTGAGAGAACAGTGTAAGAAGAGCAAAAAGGATGGGATGGGATGGACGGGACACGACACGACACGACGCGACACGTGAGGCTTGTTTGGGGAAAGGAAGCGCCTCACGTGCCAGCGCTGTGGTGGCCGTAGGAAGAAGGACGTGGGAAGGCAGGAATGACATGCGGAGTGTTTGGGCTCTGTCTGTAGTCTAGACCTGTTCAGTCTGCTTTCAGAAGGCAGTTGTGTCCGTCATGGAAAGAGCAGACCTGTTTTGAACTAAAACAAGTAGGAAGTGATATTCTGAGCCGAGATTGGGAGCATAAGAGGGAGAGCAAGTTTGGGAGAGAAAGATTATTCTTTTTTGAACACTTGAATGTTAGGAGGGGACAGGACAGTGGCAGTGTCCAGCAGAGGGTCTCAAAACTGGCTGCTCATCTGTGTCACCTGGGGAACTTTCTAAAGTGTACAGATTCCTGGGCCCCACCCCAAATGTACTGACTCGGAGCATCTAGGGGGCGGGCCCAGAAATGTGTTTTTTGGTTTTTTTTTTAGCTGAGCCATCCTGACACCTGTTGGCAGCTCAGCGGCAGCTCAGCTCGGGCCGGACTCGAACCGCTGTTGCTCAGAGCTCACACTCTTGAGAGAGCTCTTAACCAACTGAGCCACTCGGCCGGCCCCAGAAATGTGTATTTTTAATGTGCTTCCCAAGTGCGTGTGAAGTTTTGCCCTGACCCACACTGCATTGCACCGTAGAAAGTATGGTCTCGAGATGAGCAGGGCTGCAGATACAAAATCTTAAGACTTGTAAATAGAGGTTCTAGAAGTGGGAGTGAATGAGATTGCCTATGGGGAACATGGGGAGAGAGCAGAGAGCAGGACCTGGGGCCATGCAGAGGGAGGAGGAGGGGGAGGAGAGGGGGTGAGCAGCCAGCCGACAAGCTTAACAGGAAGGGACAAAGACGGTAAAAGAACCAGCAGTTTTTGGAATAGAATAGAAGCTAAGACAGGAGCCATTCAGTGAGCTACTGCTTAGCAAGCAGTCAGCGTCGCTGAAGTTGAGACAGGAAGGAAACAGCTAAGATCTATTAAATGAGCCTGTGGTGCCAACCTAAGTGACGATGCTGTAATGTTCACTTATCATTTAGTCTTTTTATAACCCTGTGTAGTTAGTGGTGCACTATTTTTTTCTTTTATCTCTTCTCTCTGTCCATCTGACTTTCTTACATCTCAGGAGGTGAGGAAAGTTGGGTAGTTTGCCCAGGGTTGGTCTCCCAGCTGGTGTGTGGCAGAGCCGCCTCATTCGAGCCGGCTGCCCCTGATTCTAGAGCCCACCCTTTCTACTTCCATGCTCCCCAGAAAGATGCGAAACTCTGCGTCTTTGTAGTTAGCTTTTCATCTATGATAGTTGAGAGGATTTAATTATAATAGTGGTGGAAAGTCAATTCTGATGAGTTCGGAATAAATGGCAGATGAGCATGCTGGGGTCCTAGTTAGTACTGAATGGTCTAAATGGGCCTGGGCTAAGCCTGAAGGTGAGGGAAGCCAGGTGGAATTGAAGTGGGAGCAATGGTGATTTTTTGCTGGATTGAGGGAGAGTTTGAGTGGAGGCAGAGAGTGATGAGAGAAAGTTCTCGACCTCAACTGTCCCATTTGGTGGCCATTGAGAACACACAGTGTGGCTACTCTGAATTGAGATGTGCTCTATGTATAAAATACACACCAGATTTCAAAAACATTGTATGAAAAAAATGCGAAGTAGATTGTTAATTTTTTATATTGATTATATATTGAAATGAAAACATTTTGGATTAATGGAGTTAATACAATATATTAAAATTAATTTTACCTTTTTTTTAAAGAATTTTTTTGGGGAATCGGGGGATGGGAACAGAAAAGTTGCTGTCCTTTTGTTCTTTGGTCTGGTTGTAGAGGACGTCGCTTCACTGGCCCATGTTGGTATTATGATCATTGTGCTCTTCCTGGGTGAGACAGATCGGTCGCCGGCCATTGGATGGCAGCTCACGGCGGCTCTTGTCAGCTCACCCCAGCTGCCGGCCGCTCACGCTGGCTGCCGGCCACTCATGGTAGCTCACTGTAGCCTACGCTGTCGCGGCAGCCCAGCTCCAGGTCGAACTGTTGTTCACCATCTTAGCTGTAGAGGGCGCAGCGTCACTGGCCCATGTGGGATCCGAACCGGCTGCCCTGCTGCTCAGAGCTCACACTCCCAAGCCAACTCTTAAGCAATGAGCCACTCGGCCGGCCCTTACCTTTTTGTTGTAATGTGTCTAGTAGAAAATTTTAAATCCTGTATGTGCTTCACATGATATATCCATAGGACAGTGCTGGTCTAGACGTGGAGACCTTTAACAGTTTAGGATGCCGATAAAGTGCAAGGTATTAAAAGTCAGCCGCGGGCAAGATGGTGCTTCTCCACCGAGCTTGGTGTTGATCTCATCAGAGGGGTGGTGTTCTGTTCCTGTAGTAGTCAAAATAGCATTCGCCCACCTAATAAGAACAGTCATTCCCTAATACTGCCTTACATCCATTCCATTTTCAGATGTCCCTAATTGTCCCCCAAATGCCTTTTTCTGCCCATTTTTGAAAACTAGAACATAATCAAGGTATATATTACATGTGTGTATTTAGTTTCTTTCAATCCAGAATAGTGCCTTCATCTCATCTTTTTTTTTTTCCTTCTCTGTGACACTGACTTTTCCAAGATCTGTAGTCTCGTGGAATGTCCCTCAGCCTGGATTTATGTCATTGTTTTTCATAGTCTAAAATGTTGTTTAACTCATTCCTGCAGCCCCTGTACTTTTTCTAAAATAGAAGTTAAATCTAACGGCTTGATGCACTGTAGGTCCAACATTTTGTGTTTATGTTTTGTTTTGTTTTTTTATTGGAGGGGGAGGAGGGCGCCAGGGCACCGCCCTGCCCAGGCCGCCCCGCCTGCGATGGTCCAGCATTTTGGACCAGAACAATGCCCAGGGCTGCTGGGTCCTCCCTGTCAGCTCTCATCCCGTTGCGTCAGCCCCGGGCCTGTGAGGATATGTGGTCACACTGTGAGGGAACCACCAGGTCTCTTCATTGCCAAGTTCAGTTTTCTGAAAGGTAAAAATTTTAAGAGTGCTGCTTGGGACAGAGGCTATGACTTTACTGTCAGATGACCGGTGAGAGGCTAATCAAACACAAAACGAGCCGAGTGTATTTCATGCGACAGCAAGTGCAGTCAGGCAAGTGCCTCAACTGCTGCGCTTGGGTTTGGATCCACGAGGTTGATTCCTGTGCGCCGGTCCTTCCTTTGCTTCACCACTCCTCCTCCCTTTAACGCTGTTCTGTGTGCTTTGTGCTTAATCAATATATTAGGAAAGCTAAAACGTTCCTCCTCCTATGTCTTCTCATTTACTCATTTTGGAGTGATTAAAGCCAAATCACGATGACTCTTTTGTAATGCTTTCTAATACTCAGACTGCTCAGATATTGGGAAGTGGTTCCAATATCTGGCCCCGTGGGGGCCTCCTGGCCCCCCTTGGCCTCTGCTCCTCTTGTTCATTCAGCTGTTTCAGCATCAGGCAGTGTCTGTGGGTCAGGGTGCCCCAGAGGCAGCACTGCCCTGCAACTTAGGTGCACATCCACCTTGTGCGGCGCTTGCTGAGCTCACATGTGCCGAGCCCCGCCCCAGCCCTGTGGGATCAGAGCTACTGGTGGAGAGAAAGACCTAATTCAGGCTTCGTGATTGTGCAGATTACCCAACTTCCGTTTTCTCACCCGCCTGTACATGGCTCTGGAGACTGCCTCTACCGTTAAATGTGCAGCAGCCTTTCATTCTCTGTCTGTATCTTCTCCGTACAGAGAAAGGAGCTGCTCGCTCGGGTCACCTGTGAGGATCCTTGGTGCTCTGTATAGTAGAGTCACAGCTCCAGACCCTATCAGACAGCGCTGATCACATGGGTAGGAGCGTCCCTGCCCATCCCCCGCGCAGTTAGCACTCATTGATCGGCAGCGCTGAGCTCTTCACCGCAGCGACAATGCCATGTGTTTTACTGCAGCGCTTCTCAGATGTAGCTGGTGAAGGACCAGGGTTTTGTTTTTTCTTTGTTTTCAAATTTCCAGTCCATTGCAGATTGATACGATATTTTTGTAAAATACAATAAAAGTGAACTACTAGAAAGAGGACCACACATTTGGATCTCACCGCAATGCTGAATTGCTCGTACAGGTTGCTAAATTCTTCCTCTCCATTTCTGTACTTCCCTGCCAGCCCAGCACTGGCTTTCAGGCTGGCCCTGGGAGCACACTGAGTAGTCCTGGCAGAGAGCACCATTTCTGATTTCGAGCTGTGGGCTTCAGTGCGTCCGTTAGCACCTGCAGACGAGGATGGACATGGCGTGTTTCCGGGAGGGCGCTGTGGTATCGGAGTCTCTTTCCTCTCGGTCACACCTGGCAGCGCCTTGTACACTGTACTCTGTCTCCCCCTGGAGGTGTTTTCTTTCGATTCTTGGTGCTGATGTCTTTCCTTGCCTTTTAAAATTCATATTTTTGTTGAAACCATAATAAACATCAATATAAAGGAAGTTAAAAGGAAAAACCATACATAATTTCACATTACTCTTCTCATTCGAGAAATTCATGTATTAATCATGTACTCGTACTTTTTAAATTGTCCTTACACTAGATGTAATAATTTTCTTTTGCTTTTCAGTTTGACATTATATTTGAAAGTTTCCATGTTGCTATATGGACTTTATATTTGTGCTTTTTAACTGTTTATTACTTGATTATGCAAGAAGTCTTTTCAGTTGGTCTTAGTTATTGGAGTTTTAGAGTCCCGTGTCACACGGGCTTTGGAATCAGCAGCTGCTCTGCTTACGCGCTGTGTGGTGACCTTGGCAAATGCCCTGACTTCCTGAGGCTGCTTCTTACCTGTGGATAAAGCGCCTGGCACAGTGCTTCACACTCTTCTCATCTTCCTTCTTGCCCCACTGCCTCTTTCTTTCACTGGTTTCATTTTTCTGCTCCTTTCTTGTTAGGAACTTCCAGGACCCCTCGGGCTCTGTGTGGTTGTTTGTGTCTCTCATTCGTAATTGGATTCAGTCCTGACCTTCCCCACTTTACTTTGGTCGGAGGTCAGCTTGTATCGTTGTCCATATATGGCCAAGTGAGATCTTCCTCCTTTATAGAAAACAGTCTGCTGAGTCCAGTCTGAATTCTTCTGTGTAATTAGATTAGAGCCCTTTCTGCGGTTTGTTGGCTACATGTGGCTGTGTTTCCTTGTGAATGTTCAGGGTTCAGGGTTGAGCCAGTGAGGCCGGGCCTAGGGGATGGGATGTCTTTTCAAGAGCCTTCTTGTTGGTTGTAACATGTCTCTTCAGTCCTCGGAACATCATCTTTAATCACGTCTCCGGGGCTAGAAGTGTAGGCAGTGCTGCTCGGGAGGCCAGGGAAGCGTCAGTAGAGGCTGTGTCCTCCCATGCCGACCTCAGGGAACATTTGTTTCCAGGGCCAGAAAAAGTACCCAGATGAAAAGCCATGAGGGCTACAGGCTATGAAAATGTCTCTGATTTTTGTTGTGTTCTAATTCAGACTATTATTATTATTTTTTTTTAACTTTATTGGGGAACAATGTGTTTTTTCCAGGACCTATCATCTCCAAGTCAAGTTGTTGTCCTTCAATCTTAGTTGTGGAGGGCGCAGCTCAGCTCCAAGTCCAGTCACCATTTTCAATCTAGTTGCGGGGGGTGCAGCCCACCATCCCATGCAGGAGTCGAACTGGCAACCTTGTTGTTAAGACCACACTCTTTAACCAACTGAGTCATCTGGCTGCCCACCGGCAGCTCAACAGCAATTCAGCTCAAGTGGCCTTCAATCTGGTTGTAGAGGGTGCAGCTCACTAGCCCATGTGGGAATCGAACCAGCAACCCTGTTGCTCAGAGCACGTGCTCTAACCAACTGAGCCACCCAGCTGCCCCAGACACATGTTCTCGTTTTTCTCGACTTCACTATGTGCTTTTGGATGTCTTCATGGTGCATACTTGTGATTTGGTAAGGGTTGGTTCAGGGCTAGCGCCCACTTTGGAGTCACGTGGAAGATGTGGGTCTGCTGAGATAGCCTGCTTTCTGATTAGTCGTTTACCTCATCTATCTAAGCATTTCTTTTCTGTAACAACGTAAATATCCTTTTTACAAGCTTTTGTAGTCACAAAAGAACAGCAAAAAATACTTGAAAACAGAATCAAATCATTGTCCTTAACAGTTGGTGTATTTAATTATGATTACGTGGTCTGACAATCCAAATGTCTTCCCTCTGTGGACTTCTCTATTGTATTTTACAAATAGATTTTTAAAATGAGTATAATTTGGTTGATTTGTGAAAGTATTTAAAAACAAGAGCTCTTGAGTTTAAACCTTAGCTCTAAAATTCTCTAGCTTGTGACGGGACATGTGTCCCTTTGAGCTTTGTTTATTGATCTATAAAAAGGGGACGATGTTAGTTCTCATTTCAGAGAGTTGTTGCATGTTCACTAAGATAATATATGTGAAAGTCCTTAGTAAATTATAAAGGACTCCCCAAGTGGTTGCTGATTTCCATTTTATTGAAAGTGCATCGTTCTGGAAGGGGGCTCTGAGGATTGGAGCTGCTTCAAGAGACCTTGGGGGAGGAGTAGGTTGCAAATGTGGCCGAGAACAGAACAAAACTGAGACATCTAAATACTTTGCTTCTATACCAAAGAGTCAGGGGTTCATAGGGTACTGTTGTTTCTAGGGCTACAGAGAAGCCTTTAATGAATGCCGGAAAGTTGTCTCTTATGTCAATTTTGCTTTCTTAAAATGGTGACCCGAGAAGACTACATTATTAAGCACTCTGTTGGTTTAGCCTGTTAAAATTCCTTTGAGAGTTAATTATTTGGTATAGTAAGGACTATTAGATTCTTTGCTGGTGTAGCTCCACATAGCATTTCCCTGAAGTCGTTTTGATTTCAATTCAGGTGTGAAGTTTAATTCATATATTAGGAACTACTTTGCTGTGACATTTGGTGGGAAATACTTTACCTTGGTTCTTTGATTCCTAACTGAGAAAAGGAAGTCTTTCTTTTTAACTTCCTTGTTATTAGTATAATAAATATTGGGTTGTCGGAAAAGTCATGACACATTTTTGCAACGAAAAACATAGAAAAAATACGTCATGACTTTTTCCACAACCCAATAGTACATCAAAACTACATTTTACCTGTGTGTCTGAAGCTTAAAACTTTCCCCCTCAAAAATGATGCCAGTGGCCAGCTGAGTGGCTTGTTGGTTAAGAGTTGGCCTGGGACACCAGCTCTGAGCAGCAGGGCACCGGTTCGGATCCCACATGAGGGCCAGTGACACTGCGCCCTCTACAGCTAAGATGGTGAACAACAGCTCGACCTGGAGCTGGGCTGCCGGGAGTCACTGGTGACGGCGTAGGCTGCAGTGGGGCTGGCCGGCAGCTGGCATGAGCTTTCGTGAGCCGCCATCAGCGGCCGTTCAATGGCCAGCAACCGATCTGCCTCAGCTGGGAAGAGCGCAATGATAATACCAACATGGTCCAGTGAAGCGATGTCCTCCATAGCTGGACTGAAGAACAGGGGGACAGCAGCTTGTCTGTTCCCCTTCCCAGATTCCCCAACTCTGTTTCCTCCCCCAATTCCCCAATAAAATCTTTAAAAAAAAATGATGCCAAACTGTATGTAGGCCTGGGCACTTTCTGGTGGGAACTGCTTGTTTACTTAGCCAATACAGGTGATCTTGGAAACTTAAGGTGCCCCACCTGGCAGGGTGACGGACTGAAGCCCACCACCTGAGCCCTAGGGTGTCTGGCTGCCAAACACTGTGTTCTGAGCACCTCGGGCATTTCAAAATGTAAAACTACTAGGAAAGGGTACTTTTCTCTTCCCCGTGTGTTTACCTTTTCTTTGTGTTTATTTTTAGGAATGCTTCTGACTGCCAATGAAACCCCCAAGATGGGCATCTATTACATTCCGGTAAGAATACAAATGGGAGTTTGGTAAAAATAGCGCAAGCAAAGATGCTTTATTTTTAAACTGGGTCTATTGAGGGACTTTGGGTCTGCATGTGGCAGTGTAAATTATACACTGTGGACCCACTTGTAGCTTCACATGGCTTCCTGGAGCCTGTAAAACAATGCTTAACCATTCTTTCATGGGAAACTACTTAATGTCACATTAAAACAGACATTAGAAATGAGTCTTTATTCCAGGTTTACATTTGGTTTTTGTTTCCAAGTATTTCAGAATCTTAAACTTTCAGCTATTAGTGATCAAGGGGTCAAATTCTAAAGAACTTTAGAGTTGTGAGCTCTCTATAATCACTGTCAAGCCTCTAGTTATGAAAGTTCTTTATACTTACGATCGTTCTTTTGTAATACCTTGTCCATGTGTGTATTCCCCCCACCCCCCCAAAAAAGTATTCTGGTTGATGTTAACTTTCTGTGGTTTCTGGAAACCGGTTTGTTGTGGAAAGCCCTTTGAGATGTTTCTTTTGATTGATAGTAGAATGAAGGCCATTCAAACAGCAACTTCTCCTGAGGTATCATTCATTCCTTTTCCCTGGACTTGCACAGATATTGCTTTCATATTCCTATCAGTTTATCCATTTTTCCTTGTTTGCATCTGTTCAGTAAATATTTAATGATGGCAACACTGTGTGTCAAGCACAGTGCTATATGCTGGCTGTATAATAGTGTATAGGGTACTGCCCCTTTCCTCAAGGAGTTCGTTGGTAGGGAATAAAACAAGAAGGCAGGCAATTTCAGTTCAGTTGATGAATGCTATAACAGAGGTAAGGAAGGGTACTCTAAGCACTTGCGAGGGGAGACACTTAACCCCATGTGGGGCTGGGAACTGGTGGGAAGAGGGGAGGACACCCAGAGAAACCTTCCATAGAAATTGGCTTCTAAGGGGGGATTGGAAGGCTGGTTCTGTATACCGGAAGAAGAGGGTGGGGTGCAGAATGGGAGAAGCATCTTGCAAGTAGAGAGAAGAGTGTGTGCAGAGATCAGGGAGAAAGTAATTTACATGGCTGAGCATTGGAGCCAGAGGTTTGGGGTGAGATCTGAGGTTGAAGAGACACTCAGCAGCCAGATCGCAAAGCTCATAGAAACCAGGTGTGGAACTACAGGGCATGCAGTCCTGGAAAAGTTTTAAGCGGGGGAGTAGTACGACCAGATTTGCATTTTTGGAAGGACTGTTGGCTGTGCCACAAGGAGAATGGATTAGATAGGATCTAATCCGGAGGCAACAAGCACAGGATGTAGCAACCTACTGAAGAGATCATGGTATCTGTGTTACCTGGACCAAGCCTCCCATTTTCGTAGTTGGAGCTTTTGGGGTTCCGGGATAATTTGAGAGAAGTCTGATCTGGCAGGCAGTAATTTCAGAGGTTTATGATCCTTGAGTTGCCAAATGGCACACCTCAGAGGTGTTCATTGAAGGAGACTCATGTAGTTCCCCAGAAATGCCTTCCCTCGTGCAGCATTAGTGTCAGCCCCCTTGGGGAATGTTGTCAGGAGAGGCAGAATAAAGCAGCTTGCCCCCAACCTTTACTTCTCATCCTGGGAGAGGTCTCTCTTCTTCTTCTTCCTAGGAGTGCTTACTATGTTTTGATCTTTAGCAACTGCCTGGAAGATGCTGATGTCTTGAATCATAGATCCCTTTGCCCACGTCTAAACTGTCGAATCAGCCCGTGGGAAGGTGCAAGCTCTCTAAGGCAGAGTGTGAAGGGCTGCTTTGGGAGGTCTGCCTAATAAATGAGGACCCGCAGGCTGGAGGGCCCCTTGGTGTGGAGGTGGGGGGTCCTGAATTCTTTTGCAGCAAGGCCACCTTACCGGCTTGTGCTAAGATGGTGGTGATGGGGTAGAATTAGAACGATTGTGAAGGTTGTAAGATAGGCTTGGTAATCGATTAGATGTGGGTAGTGAGGAAGAGGAAGGAACCAAAGCTGACAGTCCTATTTCTCTTGGGTATATATATGGATGAGGAGGTCAGTCCCTGAGTCCAGGAAGAGAAAGGGAGTATTAAAAATTTTCCCTTTGGAATCACGTTCTGCATTTTATAAAATGATCTTTAAAAGGAACAAACACACAGCTTTTTTGATAATGCAAACAACGTGTGCATAGTTCTGTTTATTCCAAGGGTTAACAAAATACAAGAAAATAAAGACCATCATTTCTCACTTGATATTAGTAAGCACTGTTAATATTCGGGTGTACTGTCTTTCAGTTATGCTTATAGTGTTATGTGTGTAGAGTCATTTTTATATACAAATTTGTATCCTGGTTTCTTCAGTTAGCCATAGAAATATTAATTCTAAGGCATTAAAATTCCTTAAAATATTTTTAGTTATCTCCATTATAGAATCTTAGAACTGTAGGAAACCCATTATTCACTTCCGACTCTCTAGGTCTATTTCTCAAGGGGGGTTTTACGTGCCAAGTAATGGGGGCTTTAATTAGCCTGCGTGAGAGGGGCTGGATGCTGGCCAGGTGGTGAGAAACTGTTTTATCGACAAATGTTAGCTTATAAGACTTGAATTTCAACTTTCTAACTCAGATTTAACAGAAAACTGTGAAAAAAAATGCACAGCGACAGCTGGCAGGTGACTGTGCATGTAGGGACAGCGAGAGCCTAAGCTATTCTGGCTCCGCAAAGCCTTGTGCTGAAACTGGTGCTTAAGCGCCCCTTCCTGACCTGCCCTGCTCCCTGCTGAGGTTTTTGGGGCCACTGTCTGTATGCGGAACCCGCTCTTTGTGGTGCTCCTTCAAAGCATAGAGAGCCCAGGGCTCTGAAAGCCTCTCAGTTTTCGTAAGATTGGATCAAACTTACCAAGCTGATATTTAGCACAAAGGTTCATTTGAGGCATACAGAACCAGAGAAGTGAGTATGTAATATGTGATTCATGCCAAATATAGGAGGTTTGGACTGTGATTTGTATTGACATCCTATAAATCAGGTATGAAAACCCTTTACCCCCCTCTTTGGAGCTGTGCTAAAAATGAAGACAACCTCATGCCCTTTCAGCTTGTTAGCTTTGTCTTTCTGCCTGGTGCCATCTTTCTTGAACACTTGAACTCTTCATCGATTAAATGTAATTCCTGATTTACACAGTCTCTGCCACTTACATATCCCCATAGCTAACCAGTCTTCTGTGACCCAGATGGGTTTTCTCAAGCCCGTTTCCCGTTTTCTCAGTGCTCTCCTGTTTTCCCTCCTCAGAGACCAGGATCCGTTATTTTGTTTGTTTGTTTGCGTCTTAAATTCCAGGACCTAATTCAACTGCAGTTCCCGAGACTAATGCCAGAAATTGTTTTTCAAGTTTGGTTTTCCTCTGGAACGTAATTTAATCTTAGGTTGGTTCTTTATAATTAACACCGTTCAAAACTATGTGGACTCCAGAGGGACTCCAAGTCCCGTTTGGCACCCAACCCAAAACCCAGCCAGCATGGTTAGTATTGTTTCTGTGGGAAATGTTCCGAATTCCGAGTCCTCAGCGCATCGCGAGCTCCTAAAACCACTCTCTACTGGATAATTGATTGCTTGCATACTTGATAATACATATGTCAGAATATCATTTTTATACATAAGATAAGGACCAGTTCCTCTGCTCTGATAGTACATTCTGATCAGCCAGATCAGAAAATCTTGGTTTGATGCAATCATTCTGTTTGGGAGTGCTGATAGATTTCCAAAAGCGATGCCTTGTCCAAAAGATGTAATGGTGATTCTGTTAAGAGGCTAAACTCTTTCCTGGAAAAATACAACAGGAGAATGTGAAAGTAAGGGCATTTGGCTTTTGTTGGACCATTTTTGAAATTTGTCCAAAACTTAGCTTTGCATCTATGGTAGGATGGACTTATCTGTTTTAAAGATTGGAAATAATATCTTTGTTTTTCTTCCTGTGTGTACCTGTGCTTTTAAGCTGCAGTTGCTGGAAGTGCTCTGTATGTTCCTCCCTAAGATTTGGGTTTGAATCTAGGCCATGATTGGTCCAATTGATCCATTTTCATTCAAAGCCAATACTGAAGACTCATATATGTTGACTAATTCGATATTCGGAGAACTTCCCAGATATGAGAGCTCTTTGACCCACTAGTATGTTGAAATGGCCCTGAATATACTAGTGTCCATGTAGAATCCTAAAAGTGGTCATCACATTTTCATCTAAAATGCTCACTTAAGCAGAGAGTTGTTAGACATAGTGACAAAAGTAATTTTGTTAGAAATTCTGATTTTATAGTGCCAGTAGCAACATATTCTCTTGGTTGAGGGAAGTAGTGCCAGATGCAAAGAAAACCACCACCTGGGGAATTTGCCAGCATGCAAAGGATATACAAGAAGGAACATAAACTGAACAAGTAGTTGAAATGTTTTCACACGAAAGGATTTTTCAACATGCTATAAAGAATGGGAAGCTTTTAAAATGCAGAACATTAGAGCAGGAAGGGGAATTTGAGGTCATCTAGTCCACCCCTTAATTTATAGGTGAGGAATCAAGTTATTCAAGGTCAAATGAAAGTTGGTGGCAGAGTTGGGTCTAGCAGGCATTTCTTCATTCCACATTGCATAGTGGAAAGAGCTTAGATTTTGGAATTAGTCTGACCTGAGTTTGAATATCAGCTTTGCCACTTCCACATTTGGTGACCTTGAATGAGTTACTTACCTTATCTGAGCCTTACTTCCTTGAACTATAAAAGAGGAATGATGTTGTAAGGCAGTTGTGTGCGATAGATGTACTTTTCAATCATTTATCATGGTGCCTGGTCCATGACAGATGTTCATCTGATTACTGCTGTCCTACTTTCTTGCAGTGAGCAAAATTGAAGGGGTTCAGTGGCAAAGAGTATTTATATTTAGCAGTATGTGGTCATGGACCTTTATGTAGCTTTTAGAAGGAATGTGATACTGAGCAAAATAAAGATATGCTAAAAACGTTGTGACAATATCCTAAGTGTGAGCAAGGGGAAAGA